ACATATGCTAGTTAACTGATATTTCTTTCTAGCAAGAGAGGATTAAATTACTGGGGCCAAAGAGGGTGTATATCTGAAATAATTGTAATATACTACAAAAAAATTATTATTAAATCTCTTGCATTTGATAAGTGCATGTTGAATTGAACTGAATCTTTTGGCCAATTCAGTTGGTCAATAAAAATTTATAAGCACCTATTATGTGCCAGGCCATTGCTAAGGACTAGGGATACAAAGAAGGCTGAAAGACAGTTTCTGCACTCAAGCAGCTCACAGTCTAATGAGAGAGACAACATGCAAACAACCATATACAAACAAGCTGTATACAAGATAACAGCAAAAAAATCAACAAAGGAAAGGCACTAGAATTAACATGCAGAAAGGCTTCCTGTAGAAGATGGGAAATAAGACAGAACTTGAAGAAAGCCAGAGAAGCCAGGATGTAGAATGAAGAAGGAGAGCATTCCAGACATGAAGAACAGCCAGTGAAAATGCCTGGAGTCTGAAGATGGAGTGTCTTGTTTGAGGAACAGCAAAGCGGCTAGTGTCCCAGATCCAAGAGATCACTGGGATAAGGGGTGTAGGAGGTAGAAAGGTATAAGAAGACTGGAAAGCAGGAGAGGAGGGCTAGGTTACGAAGAGCTTGAATGCCAAACAGAGGATTTATATTTGGTCCTGGAGGTGATAGGGAGCCATAGGAGTTTGTTGAAAAAGAGACATGACAGGGTTACTCACTTTGGCAGCTGAGTGGAGGAAGGACTGGAGTGAGGAGAGGCTTGTGGCAGGCAAACCAACCAGTAGACCATGTCTACTACAGAGTATCATCTGGGAAAGACTGAATATTCCTCCATCTATTTAAATTGCCTCTTTTTTTTGGTGAAGCAATGAGGTGAAGTGACTTGCCCAGGGTCACACAGCTAGTAAGTGTCAAGTGTCTAAGGCCAAATTTGAACTCAGGTCTTCCTGAATCCAGAGCTGGTGCTCTATCCGCTGTGCCATCTAGTTGCCCCCTGCTTTTTATTTCTTTAAGGAGCACTTTGTAATTAGATCTTTGTAAGTATTTTGTGTTCATTGCTAGTTTGATCCTTAAATATTTCATTTAACTATATGCAATTTATAGATATTTTAAATGGGTTTACCCTTTCTATTAACTGCTTCATGGATTGTGCTACTATATGCAGCTGACTTTTTTCTTTCTTTTTAAAATTTATTATTTATTTTAACTTTTTTAAAATTTTGAACCCCAAATTCTCTTCCTTCTTTTTGTCCCTCTCCCACAGAGAAGGCAACCAACATAATATCAATTTTACATGTGGTCATACAAAACATATTTCCATATTAGCTTTATCCCCAAAATAAAGAAAATGAGCAAATTATACTTCAGTTTGCAGTCAAAATTCATCAGTTTTCTCTCTGGAGGTAGATAGCATTTTTTTCATCATGAGTCCCTACACTACTGAATTAATAAGTGTAGTAGCTAAGTCTTTCACGATTGAGCATCATTATAATATTGCTGTTTCTGTGTACATTGACCTCCTCGTTCAGCTCACTTCACTTTGTGTCAGTTCACATAGGTCTTCCCATGTTTTTTCTGATACTATCACTCTTGCCATTTCTTGTTAGCACATTACTACCCCATAACAATCACGTGCTACAACTTCTTCAGGCATTACCCTCAATTTCCATTTCTTTGCCTCCACAAAAAGAGCTACTACAAATATTTCTGTACATATAGGTCCTTTCCCCTTTTTCTTTGATCTCTTTGGGATACAGACCTCACAGTGGTATTGCTGGATCATAAGGTATGCACTGTTTTATAGCCCTTTGGGTATAGTTTGTGCATTCTCCAGAATGATTGGACTAGTTCACAGCTCCACCTATTTTCCTTCATTCCCTCTAGCATCTGTCTTTTCTAATAGGTGTGAGATGGTACTTCAGAGTTGTTTTAATTTGCATTTCTCTAATCAATAGTGATTTAGTGCATTTTTTCATATCATGACTATAAATAACTTTCTGATCTCTTCTTCTGAAAACTGCCTATTCATATCTTTTGACCATTTTTCAACTGGAGAATAGCTCTTGTTTTTATAAACTTGACTTAATTCAATACTCAGTATATATTTGAAAAATGAGGGCCTTATCAAAGAAACTTGTTGTAGAAATTTCCTTCATTCATTGTCTATGGCACCTTTTATCAAAATGTAGTTCCTCTGATTATCTCTTTTAATTAGATCTATTTTTGCTTTTACTTTGTCTGAGATTATGATTGCTACCTCTGCCTTTTTATTTCAGCTGAAGCATAATAGATTCTGTTCCAGTCCTTATTTTAACTCTGAGTACGTATTTGTTTTGTTTCAAGTGTCTCTTGTAAACAACATATTATTAGATTCTAGTTTTTAATCCATTCTACTATCTATTTCCGTTTCATCCCATTCATATTCACAATTATGATTACCAACTGTGCATTTCCCTCTATCTCATTTTCTTCTGTTTATCATTTTCTCTCTTTTTATCTTGTCCCTCCTCAAAAGTCCATTCTGCTTCTGACCTCTGCCTCCTCTAATCCTTCTTATCAACCCTTCCCTTTCTCTTACCCCTTTTCTTCCATTACCCTGTTGGGTAAGATAGATTTCTATACCCAATTGAGTATGTGTATATAGTCTTCCCTCTTTGAACCAATTTAGAGGAGAGTGAGGTTCAAGCATTGCCCACCCACTTCTATTTTCCCCTCCACTATAAAAGCTTTCTTCTAATGCTGCTTTTATGTAAGAAAATTTTTTGCATCCTACCTCTCCCTTCCCCTTTCTCCCAGTGCATCCCTCTGTCTTACCCCTCCATACTTTTTGGAGATAATCTCAACATAATTGGCTCACACCCATGCCCTCTGACATAGCAGACTCCTTCTAACTGCCCTAGTAATGATAGAGTGCTTAGAAGTTACATGTATAATTCCATATAGAAATATAAACAGTTTAACTTTATTGAGTCCATTATTATTTCTCTTTCATGTTTACCTTTTTATGCTTTTCTTGAATGTTTAAATATAAAATTTTCCATTAAACTCAGATTTTTTTTTATCAGGAACTCTTAAAATTCCTCTATTTCATTAAATATCCATTCCCCTCCACCCCCGCCAACTCAGTTTTGCTGAGTAAATTATTCTTGTAATTCTAACTCCTTTGCATTCCAGAATATCATATTCCAACCCCTCTGCTCCTTTGACATTAAAGTTGCTAAATCTTGTGTGATTTGGCACAGAGGTAAGAGCCAGTCACTTATAATAACCTGAACTAACCACTAACAAAGTCTAGGGAAGTAGACTCCTCCACAATATTTTTTTTGTAAATAAAAAATTGCTCCATTTTCACACAAAGACTGAATCTCCTTTGAATAGTTCATGGGTTAAACATTTCTACTATAATTTTGTTGGCCATCTCAAGCTTGGATATTAAACTCTTCCTCTTTACTCCAAAATAAATTCGTCAAGCACTGCTCAAAATATGGCACTTTAAATTAGCATAGTCTGAAGTAAGGATTCTTAAACTATGTGTTTGATTTCATGTTCTCATTCAGTTTTATCGTTATCAAACACAGTAAAGAAAAATGACTCATCAAATAATTATATTCTTAGATATAATTTATATCTGAAGAGAGTGTCATTTTACTCATGGGAATTAATACGTTCTTTTCCTTCTCCTTTTTAATCTTTGGTTACCAAAACAATGGAAAATAAGTACACCTATATGTTTGCAACACATAATGTTGCACAGGTATTCAGAATGTACCTGTGAGCCTAAAACCTTCCGTTGTTGGGATTATGTTGCTGATTTGTCCTCTGATGATCTTGTTCAAAGCCAATTATATATATATCAATAGAAATGCTAATAGTTACTCAGCTTAAGTAAGGCTCTCCTTGGCAGATGTGAGAATAACTCGAGTGCTGTTTATTTTTACCTCTTTCTATGTAAAATTTTTAAAGTTCTTTGCGATGATTCTTAGATGAGTTGCTGAACTCAGGAGAATGGCTTAGTCTACATTATTTGGGTCTCTTTTTGCTATATAGTACCATTGTTCCTCTACCTGCATTTGTTATTCAGTCTTCATGACCCCATTTGGGGTTTTCTTGGCAGAGATACTGGAGTGGTTTGCAATTTCCTTTTCCAGCTCATTTTACAGATAAAGAAACTGAGGCAAATAGGGTTAAGTGGCTTGCCTAGGATCACATAGCCACTATGTGTCTGAGGCCAGATTTGAACTCAGGAAGATGAGTCTTCCTGACTCCACATCTGGCACTGTATCCACTGCACTGCCTAGCTGCCCTCTGTGAGTATTATAGCGATATTTTTAGGGATAACAGTCAGCTTATAATTGACATTTGACTATTTCCTTTAGTAGTAGTGTGCTGGTAATGTTTAACTGGATTTCCAGGAAAAAAAAATGTACCCATGACACACTTGAAAGTCTAATCTGCATTAATGATATTTTCTTCATCTAGACAATCAACAAAACAATAAATCAAGCTCTAGTTTGTAATATTTGCTTATTTCTGAGGTATAAATGTTCATACCAAAGCAGATTTAACCATCAGTCCAGGGTACCCTACGTGGCTCTCTGATTGATGTTCTTATTATTTGTGGTTTTATAGTTCAAATCTGTGAACTAAGTTCTTTGTCCCAAAAGTGGATGAAGTGATTTCTTTTAAGTAGTTTGACTTGTCTTTTTAGATGTTTGAAGGTTCTCTGGACTTTTTTTTTTATGATAACATGAACCAATTAGTATAGAAAACTCCTTGTTAACTGTAGTATAGACTTTATTGATGCTATTTATTTACTCAGTAAGTCAGAAAATCTCAAATACAGTAGCTACTTATTGAATATACCTTTTAAACCATGAGCTCAGCAGCAACGTGTGGGTCATGGTCTATTAAATTAGTCTTCAGCCCATTGATTAAACCTCAGGCTTCTCTTTAAAAAAAAAAAACAACAACAGGATGTCGCAGAGAAAGACCTTTAATGGTTAGAGATTATGAAACAAATGATTCATGTCATCTGAAATTAGGTTGGCTGAAGAGCTAGGAAATGCCATGGTAAAGCAGAGTCCTGTGTTAAAAAGCAGAGAATTAGATGATTTGATTTCCATGGGTCATTTGGGATTAAGAATTGTATAAAGAAAGCTAGTTCTGCCTGCTCACTTTTATATCTGCTTTACCAAGTTAAGAGGCCTGAGGCAGGGGGGAAAGGGAGGAGGGATCAGTATAAGAGATAGAAGTACAAAAATATTTATAATTACACTTGGGTGTGATGATTTATTAACCTAATGTAGCAGCCTCCAAGAAGACTATAAGGCCTTCAGAAATTGGGAAGAATTTATAAATTATATGACCAGATGAAGCTGATAAGCAGCTTTGCCTGAAGAATGCAATGTCCATGACAGTCAATTTAGCTCTAATGAACAGGTCCAGGGCTGCAATGTTGAAGAAATTGGGCTTCAAAGTGGTAGGGATATGAATATTTAATATTCATATCTGCATGTCAGTTCCTCTCTGGCCCATGAGCTCACCATATTTATGCCCATCACTGAACCTTTCTTTATACTATTGTCCTAATCTAGAATTCTCTCCTTCCTCCTTTCTACCTATTTGGGACTTAGAGACAGTCTTAAAATCGGACCACAAATGCACACATCCCCCCTATTGTTCTAGGTCTATATTGCTTTTCCTCAGGCAGTTTCTATTTCTTCTGGAGACTATAGAATGCTCAGAACCAACCATGTCATATATGAAATCTGTCTAGGGTTCAAAGCCTAGGAATTTTTGCACCATTTTGAACCATAAACTGTATGTAATAGGACAAATGCCCCCTTCTCTCCTATGACACTGCCACCGCTGTTGTGCAGTACTTCATCACCTTATTCCTATACTATTGTTATAGTCCACTACTTGGTCTCCCTGCCTCAAATCTCTCTCCGTCCCAATCTATCTTTCATTCAGCTGTCAAATTGACCTTCCTAAAAATCAGGGCTGAGAATGTAACTCCCCTCACCCCATTCAGTAATGCCAGTGGCTCCTTTTTTTCTCCAGGATCAAATAGAAAATACTCTTTTTGGTTTTTAAAGCCCTTAATAACTTGGTCTCTTTCTACCCTTCCAGTCTTCTTATGCCTTACTACCCTCCACAAATTAATACAGTGACACCAGCTTCCTTGCTATTTCTTGCACAAGAGACTTCATCCTTTGACTGTGAGAGAAATTTCTTTTTTGTTAGAACTGCCTTAATTGTTTTATTGTTTAGAAACATTAAAAATAGAATTCTATGAAGAGTCAAGCTGATGAAGTCTCTTTTTTTTTTGTCATGGCTTCAAGAGAAGCTGGAGAAGATAGACAGAAAGGAGATAGATCTTTTCTGGTGGAGCTGTTCTTGCATTTATTTCATGAAGAAAATCATTGAGAAGAAAGTCAGTGTCTATTTTGGGAGAAAGTAAATACTGTGAAGAAAAATAGTTATCTGCTATAAGTGAGAGGATTTAAGGTAATTTTGTAACATTTCTCAAAAATTTAAATTATTTCTTTGTTTCATTATTCATTTCATTGTTAATAAATGGTATAATTGGGAATTTTAATATTTATTTAAGCATAGAAAACTAAAGAATTTAAGAGAGATATATAGAGAGAAATAGGAAGTTTCTCTAGCTTATTTAATAAATTATATGTAATAACCTGGGGTAAGAGGTGTCATTTAACTAATAAATTAATGAAAAAGAGGTTATAATTTTATCAGTAAGATAATATCCAAATATACCGCTGGATTGTTCTAGAGCAGGGGTCAGCAAATTATGACTTGAGTTATTCAAAACCATTGTTAGCTCATAGGTCATATATGTCAGGCTGGATTTAGCCTTTGAGTCAATCTCTGCTCTAGAACTTGGGGTATTCATTTTAAATATGAGAATGAGTCAAGACAGCCTGAAGGGTGGCCTCCAAGTAAAGTTGGTCAACCTAACAGAATCCTTACTATACATTATATGAGTGATAGAAGGGCAAGGAATTATTCTACGTGTCGGTTATTAAAGGGAAGTATAGAATTGAGGGAGAAGTATGTAAAGGACTGAGGGAGAGAAGAGATGTTGAACTGAGGAAAGTTGGGAAGGGTATTAAAGAGTATTAGGAAAGACTTCTTGTATAAGGTGGGATTTTAGCTGAAACTTAAAGGGAGTCAGGGAAGTCAGAAAGAGGAAATGAGAAGGAAGAGAATTCTTGGCATGGGAGGGGGAAGGAAGAGGTATTGGGAGAAATTTACATGATACATAAGCAAAAATTTTTATTAAAAAATAGTTTTTAAGCATAATAAAAATCAAATCTTCCCAATAAAAACCCATGAAGATAGGAGATGGAATGTTTTGAGCAAAGAACAGTAATGAAGCTTCAGTCACTGGATCATAGAGTATATGGAGAGGAATATGGTATGAGAAGATTGGAAAGACAGGAAGGGAGCAGGCTTTAAAAGCTAGATTTTCTTTTACATCTTGGAGGTAATAAGGAACCACTAGAGTTTGGGAGGGGAAGGTGGTAAAGAGAAGGATGACATGGCCAGACCTGCACTTAAGTAAGATCAATTTGACAGCTGAGAATCAGTCTTCTGAAAAGTCCTGCCTTTTAAGAGGGAAGAGTCTAGTCTGAGCTATTTAGGTTGGATGCCTGCTTAATCAAATTCATTGGTATTCAGGAGTCATAGTGGCATGGTAAAAAGAGAATTGAATTAGGAGCTAGACATCTGCTACTTAGTACCTGTGTGAAGTTGCGTAGGTCACTTAGCCTCTCGACCTTGGTTTCTTCATCCATAAAATAAGGGAGCTAAAACTTGCCCTTCAAGATGAGATTACACAATGTCCCTCCTTCCCCTCTCTGCAGAGGTGGGAGTATTGGTGTGTGTGTGTGGAATATTGCTTATGTTTTCAGATATGATTGCTGCACTTGGTTGGTTTTGCTAAGCTGCTTTTGTCGTTCTTGTTCTTTTTAATATTTGCCACCATGGTTGACTTGCTGGAAAGAGGAGGGGAAAGGGAGAGATATATTAGGAAATTAAGGTTGACAAAAACAAAAGATGTCAACAAAAAGAAAAGATTCAAAATAAAATGAGAGGATTGAACTAAATGATCTGTAAATTCTCTTCCATCTTAATCCTGATCCCTTTGATTTTGTTCATACAGATGCAGCAAGGTTTTTTAGCCTGAATTATTTAGATAACTGCTTGCAATTCTCTGATTTGTTAGTATGGTTGACCTGTCTGGTGTCCAGGTCAGCCTTAATCTCTGCATCCAGTTATATGCCTAGCCTTTAGAGGATACTACCGGCTAGCACTATTTGGATGTTCTCTCTGTCATCAAGCTTTAAGACAAACAGATAATCAACTTCCAATTACTTTTTTGAAACATCTGAGTTGTCAAATTTTATCATTCATAGTGGTCAGGGTAAACATTTGAAAATACCTGTTTCATAACCTTTGGAGCCTGGTACTGTGATTTAGGCTTTTTATCTTTCAGAATTCACTCTTCTTAACCAAGCTAAGAAGCCACCAAATTCTTTCCCCTCTACCTCAAAACACACAAGCCAAAATTGATATACTGATGTTTTTTCATACAGTAGTTGATTCTGTAGCTGGTTACCAGAATATGATAGGAATTAACTGAAGGCTTGTTGGTTTTAAGAGGCTGTTTTCATAAATTGCTTTATGAGTAATACATGTTTATATGTGTAACACTAGTGGGTGTAACTGTGGAAGGAAGGATTGACTGCCTGTTATTCAACCCTTTCTGTTCCTTCCTCCCTGCTGAATAGGGAAAGATTTTATTTTTATTATGTTTTTGAATTTTTATTTATATCTTTTGTTCTTACATTACCTAAATTTCTCCCAATATCTCTTCCTTCCCCCTCCCAGAAAGCCATCCCATATAAAAATATTTTTAAAGAAAAGATAAAGAAGAGAAAAATCAGCAAAACTAATCAAAATACAAAAAAATTTGGACAATTTTTGCAATGTCCCATACCTGTGGACCTTCTACTCTGCCAAAAAGTGGTGGAAGGTATCTACTCAATATCTCTTCTTCAGAGCCAACCTTGTTCTTTGTAATTCTGCAACATTCACTTTTGATTGTTTTGTAGTTGCTAGGTAACACAGTGGACAGAATGCAGGGCCTAAAGTCAGGAACATTTATTAGCTGTATGAACCCTGTTTGCCTCAGTTTCCACATCTATAAAATGAGCTGGAGAAGGAAATGGCAAACTACTCCAATATCTTTGCCAAGAAAATCCCAAATAGGGTTACAAGAGTCAGATAGGATTGAAATGACTGAACAATAAGTCATTATGTATATTGTTTTCTTGACTCTGCTTACTTCACTCCAAATCAGTTTCTCTAAGTCTTTCTATGCTTTTCTGTATTCATCAACTTTGTTTTTTCTTACTGCACAGTAATAACCCATTATATTCATGTGCCATAATTAGGTTAGCTATTTGCCAAATAATTTGTCTCCAGTTCTTTACTACCACAGAAGGAACTGCTATAAATATTTTCATGTATACGGAGACTTTCTTATCAATGACCTAATAGTGGAATCCCTGGGTCAAAGGGTATATACATTTTAGTTACTTTATTTGAAAAATTCCAAATTCTTTTGACAAATGATTGTGTTGATTCACAACTCCATCAATAATGCACTGGTGTGCCTATCTTCCCACAGCCTTTGCAAGACTTAACTATTCCCCATCTTTCATCATCTTTGTCGATTTGTAGATTATAAAGTTTTGATTTGCATTTCTCTTATTATTAATGTGCCTCAAAGGAGGTAAGATTAGGTATGCTTCTATCACCTCTTTCCCCAACACTTTTCCAAGGAAGATTTTAATTCCTGCCTAGAGAAGAAGCAGAAAGTTGGCCACTCTGCTCTCCTCAGAGAGAGAAGGTACAAGGTTAGAATTATATCTATCTGATCCCTTAAATATTATAGAAAATGTAATTGTTTTGGCTCATGCTAAACTCCTAATTGCTGTTCCATATTGGGGAAAAAGAAACGCAAGTTTTATATCCAAAGCTTGATTCCCTTCCCATCAAATGCCAATTCTATAATGAATATATATTAAATAAATACAAGTTGACAACAAAACAGGATAAGGGAAAATATACATAAAAGAATATTTCCTAGACAATACAGATTGAAGGAGCTCTCCCATGGGGAGCACATCTCAGCTCTATTGAAAGTCCTAGATTTTACCCAAAGTAAATAGTCCCCAAAATCTCTGGTGTAGCAAGATGAAAATCAGGATATGATTGAAGTTCTACATGTTGGCTTCTTCCCAGAGCATTTTTCTCCCTTCAGTGATCTGAAGGGGGGTTGGCATCACCCACCTCTTCCAAAGTTGGAAGCCAGAAAAGACTGAAGAGCCCAAAGGGACTGAAGATCCTAGATTTCTCTCCTCTTCTGACAATTCCTCCTCACCCCTAGAACAGACTCAGGGCATTGAATAGAGACTCCCATACCAATGGACTTTGGGTTCCATTTACATTAGTGATTTAGAGCATTCTTTCATATGGTTGTTAATGGTCTGCAATTCTCCTCCTCTACCTCCTACTCCTCCTTCTTTTGTTTGGACAAGAATACATCTCCTATTCATAGCTGAGAAAAGTACATAATCTGCTTCTCTAATTTTTATGGCATGATTTTTAACATTCGGGTCACATACCTATTTTGAATGTATTACAGAATTTGGCATAAGATATTGATCTAAGTCTAATTCCTCCCAGACTGATTTTCAGTTTTCCCAATAGATTGGGTTTTTTTAATCAAATAAGGAGTTTTTTTCTAAGTAATTTATGCTTCTAGGTTTATCAAACACTTGTTTTTCAGTTCCTCTGTTTCATATTCCTAATAGGCACAAACTTGAATTCTTCCCTATCTCCTCCATGGGTGATGGTTTATAGCATAATCTTTGGATACCCTCTCGGCATTTATTTCGCAAGAGCCTTTCCTAGGACCTCTTTTCTTCTCTTTATATACTATCTCACTTGGTGATCTCATCATCTCCCATGGGTCCAGTTATCATCTCTATACCAATGTCTCGGATCTATTTATTAGATAGCTTTAAATGTTTCATAAACATCTTTAAATCAACATGGTCAAAACTAAACTCATTATCTTTCCCCAAAACATTTTCTCTTCCTAAGTTCCCTATTACTATAAAGGGTACCACCATACTTCCAGTCACCCAGGCTGGAAATCTAGGTGTCATCTTCAACTCCTCACTCTCTCTCACCCCACTCCTATCTAAATAGTTACCAAATACTATCATTTCTACCTTCACAACATCTTTCACATATGACCCTTGGTCCTTGGAGAGGTGGATACAACCTAAAGCTTCAGCCCAAGTTTGTTGCTCTGAAATACTTCAAAGATCCAATAGCTGTCCTTGGTTTCTCTTTTGTCTGCTGCAGCTCTTTCTTCTTCCAGCTGGGGATAGCTGGAGACATTGTCTCCTTGTTGCTATTGCTCTTCAGTTCTTCAAAATCTCACTCTTCCCTTGCATTTCCTGCCTTGAAGATGTGCCTCTAAGAAATCTTAAGTATGGGGCAGTTAGATGGTGCAGTGGATAGAGCACCGGCCCTGGAGTCAGGAGGACCTGAGTTCAAATCCAGTCTCAGATCAAACATTTGACACTTACTAGCTGTGTGACCTTGGGCAAGTCACTTAACTCCAACTGCCTAAAATTAAAAAAAAAAGAGAGAGAGATCCCAAGTATGACTCAAGTCTTACTTCCAAATTGTGATATTCCCGAATCACTCTCAGGGCTGAGAAGGAATGGTTGTCCCTCTGAACTATGAATCCCAAGATACTAGTCAGTTCTTAAAGAAGGCAGACAAGTACAGCTATTTATCTTAAATTTGGATTTAGGGTGGTTTAAGAAAAGCCTGAACTACAGATATTCTGATTTCTTTGATGGAAGCCTTAACATTATGCTAAGAGCATAAACACAGCTGCAAGGAACAGATTCATCTAAATTACCTCTTTCTCATATCTCTCCCTTTCAGATTGTCATTTCTTGCACCTAGTTTAGGTCTAAATTAAGTTTATTTTTTATTTCTAACTTAACATAGGAGGAAGATGTACTTCAGACTGTTTTTAAAAGTGCAGATACAAAAGAGGTACCAAGCAATAAAGTTTCACAGGGTTTACATAATAGAGTTGAATATTTAGATCTTAGAAATCACCTAGTCTGGTGCCATCATTTTAAAGATAGCGAAACTGGAGTCTATAAAATGGAAGTAATTTGCCCAAGTTCACACAGGCAGTAAATAGGAGAACTGGAATTCAAACAGAGGTCCTCTAGCTGCTTACTCAGTGATTTTACCTGGACATCATGACTGTTGATTTACACTTTGCCCAGGATCACACAGCTGGTATGAAATCAGCACTTGAAAAAGGTGTCCTACACCAAGTCCAGTACCTTTTCTACTATACTATGTGGTGGTAACTCGGGAATTACAGTCTAGAATCAGCTTTCTTAGGGAGGATGTATAACAGAGTTTGTAGGTAAGAGATGAAGTAAGAATGAGCAGAAAACTGCTAGTGTCAGGCCAAAGAGCCTAGGAACAAAGGAATTGAGACAGACCATGGCAAAACACTATATGGGCGTGTGGGGGGAGGTAAGGTTGCTGGGGAGAAGGGCTGTGCAGCACTGCACTAAACTTAAGGGAAAGAACACAGCATCCAGCTGTGATCAGTTCTGTCAACCAAAAAGTTGCCTGGGGCATAGACCTAGACTGGTGAACTATGAATTACTCAGCATGGGAGAATAGTGAGATGCTTTGAGATGCATCCCCCAATGAAACCACCATCAGAAGACAAAGTAAAAAGTGAATAATAGAGGGAAATGGGGCAGGGGGAGAGACTGAAATTACCAAAGATCTAAGGAAGAAATACACTCAAAGATCTTAAACATGAGCAGGTAAATCAAGAAGGAAAACATTAATAACAGAAGAAAATATGGCCTCTAGGTCTAGTAAACAAGTTCAGGCAACTATAAATAAATACCATAAAACAGAGGGAAATGATTCAATACTTGAGACAGAGAACCTGTGGAATGTGAGAAGACCATAGAACACAACAAAATGGTTTAAAAGAAAAATGAGAATTATGGGATCAGGATGTATGGCCTGCACATTAAAAATAACAAGTAGAATAAGAAAACTAGAATATTCAATGACAAGTCTCATCAAAGAAACAAAAGAGAGAATAACAGATTAGAAATGTAAATATATGGAAGTGAAGGACAAGCTAGAAAAAGAAAAGCAAATAAACAATAAGATTAAAAGAAAACATGCTCACTACTGCAAGCAAAACCTATTGATCTCAATGACAGCATGTGTAGCAATCATAGGTCTTCCAGAAGAACATGACAGTTTAAAAACCTTAACAGCATAATGCAGGAAGTAATAGAAGACAATTGCCTAGAACTTCTGAATATAGAAAATGAAACAATCGAAAGATTAAAAAACACCCAAGGCTGTAAACTTCAAGACATATAGTGGTTAAATTTAATAATTCGATTCAGAAACAAATTCTACAAATGATCAGAAGACCTTCAAATACAATGGAAAGGGGGCAGGTAGGTGGTATACCAGTAGGTGATAGAGCACCAGCCCTGGAGTCAGGAGAACCTGAGTTCAAATCTGGCCTCAGACTCTGAGCAAGTCCCTTAGCCCCAATTGCCTCACCCCCCAAAAAAAATGTCCTAATATAAGGCAAAGGAAATTTGAATAACAAAAGACTATTCCGAACTCACCAGAAAATGTAGGAGGGAATGGAATAACGTGTTCCAACGAGAAATGAAGCTCAGGATGCAGCTCAGGGTGATCTACCCTGCAGATTTGAGCTTAAATGAATGAAATAAAGATGGACATTCAATAACAAAGAGGTGTTTGAAACATTTTTATAAAGAAAACCAGGACTAAGAAGATTATTTGTTTCTCAAACACCCCAAACAACAAAAGTATGAGTAAATAAATGCAGCAGGACAGCAACAGCAAGAGTGACACCACAGAAGTCAGTAAGAGACTTCTTTCTAAATATACAAACAGACAGAG